GTACTCATAGTCGTGCATGCCGTAGTCGTTAGACCATTGACCCTACAAAGCCGGGACGGAGCACGCCGGGTTCTCACCGGGCCAGGAGTACACATAGTCGTGCATGCCGTGGTCGTTAGACCATTGACCTCGCATCCCTAGAAAGCCAGGACGGAGCACGCCGGGTTCTCACCGGGCCAGGAGTACACATAGTCGTGCATGCCGTGGTCGTTAGACCATTGACCTCGCATCCCTAGAAAGCCAGGACGGAGCACGCCGGGTTCTCACCGGACCAGGCTCTAGGAGGGGGGGAGGTGAAAGAAGACAGGGCCGCATGGTCCCGTCAAACGTTTGATCGCTTGTGAGTAGGTGTTCTTGGTTTCCGGGGACGAAGCAAAAGTGACGGTGCTCTCCGACAGACGTGCATTTCTTTTGAGCGATACCCACGAGTGACGTTATGCTGCCTATTCTTGATTGTTCCTGTGTCACAGGCGTCAGAGCACACCAAGATGAACGAGGAGTCAATATCGGGTTAGAGAGCTTTTTCGCCGTGGCGGCCACCTGGCTTTGGAGTGTTGCTACTCGGGACAACTACGTTGACGACCCCAGATATGGCATCTTCATCGCCAAAATAAGCCACCACCTCGAAGAACGTCACCCGGGAGCCTCCTCTTACATTTTTGGAATAATTCATCATGAGAGAATAAGAAACCGAAAGTTATAGACGGGAGCCAAGCAAGAGAAGAATTCAGAGGTGATCCTTCCCAAAGCTGAACTTGGCCTTCCTTGCCGTGCTGCGACACATTTGTTGGATCAATATCCAAGCCTGAAACCAACATCCTGCAGTGCGCAAAGACAGAGAGTGAAATGAAGGTTGGGAGGAACTATTAAGTGTGTTTGTTCGTGTCCTATTTCACTCACCTTCAGCTCCAAAATCCTCAGCATTCGAAGGGTGCCACGCTTGGCCCACTCGCTGGTGAATTGATGGCACAGCGACGAGTCCTTTGCATGGGCTTCTGTAAGGACACTCAGCGTGAAGTCAGTATCACCGGTGGTTCCCCCGCGGAATACCTGCTCCACGTGGGACTTTTGGAACCGACTTTGGTCGGGGTCCCGGCGCAGTAGATTGTGGTTGGCGACCTCGGGAAAACAGAACGCACCATCACCTGAGAACCTGGTTCAAAAAGAAGTCAAACGTAAGAACTTGGCCATAACAACAGGTAGGTGCCGAATCAAGGCCACTACTTTTAAACTCAAACCTGTGTAGTCGCTGTCGGGATACCCCGGAGACACAATTATGAAACGAGCCTTGGACGTGTAGCTCGTACGTGGAGGAGCGTTCTGTATCGCCAGATAGTGAATGAGCGGAATGAGGCGGGTGAGCCTTCAGCAATGCTCGCACATGACTTGTTCTACAGCAGACCTCCTCCTGCACACACCTGTGTTGGAGGACAACAAAAATGCTCAAACCCTCAAGTCCATGTTCGTGCACTCAAATAATGGCCATTTCCGCTGAGGAGACGGCCCATCGGCGTACTCTCTATAAGATAGTAAGCGCGCCGACAGGTTTTCTTCGATCCGGCCGCCACCCTCGCCGTTGATGCCGAACATCGTGACAGCGGTATCATGAAAAGGACTCTTCTACGAAACACACATCGTTGGGACTTACGAAATTGATTCGCCACCAGTACAGGCCTCGTTGGCGTGGCTTCTCGAGAAGAATTCGTACGTCAGGTTCTTGACTGGATCAAAGAAACGTGGTCATGAGTGCCCATGCAGCTTGCGATCGGAAAACCCAAGCAGGACGAAGCAACGAGCAAACAACGCATGCAATGCGATTGAGCGGTGTCACCAGAGTGGCCTTGATGTTGAACCATACATGAGAGGCTTGTGTGGAACATGGATGTTGGGACTACCGTATATATGCACCCTCTTGGTTGTTCAATGAAACCAGACATGGACATGCCTGTCGTGAGGGCCTTTAAGCAACCCTGAGATCGCTATGCTTCGCGGCTCTGGCCGGTGATGGGTGGCAGGCGTTCAGGAGGCCTCAGGAAACCGTTCGACAAATATGAACGGCGGTGGAATAGAGTTCTCGGCGTCCGTCAAAAAAATCAGGCGCCTACAGTACCTGGCGTCTTGTCTACCCCCAATAGACTACACAGCTTGTGGATGGAAGAGGCCGCAGCCAACATGTTGCTTCAGGTCGGATTGACGTGAAACCTGGATTTAATATATCACCTTTCTCTTATTCTGTTGGACGTTGTTGTCGGGGACTACTGTCTGAAGAAGAGGGATTGTCCGGGGCTCCTATTTCCAATAAGAGGGATAAGTGTAGTTCTCTCTGCATTGCAATAAAAGTCAAAAGGACGTTCGATCCATCAGTTTACCAGCGGTGTGCGAGTTTCTTCCAGCGATGTCGAACCGACTTGTTTGTAGCCTGCAAACTTGGACGAGAACACTATTCAGAGTACTGACTAGTCTAGTCTACTTGTTGTCTTTAGGTTTCGGAGAAAGTTTCTATCTATGTATACCCCCGTACAATATCCTGCAAGGGCCTCACTCAACAACTGGAGCCGGTTTGGGAGCGCCGACCAGAGGACGGGGTTAGACCATTTCATGGACGTGTCCACACGGACGTCCATGGACGTCCATGGGCGTCGAAGCCGTGAGTCCGTTGAAGTGTTCACGGACCCGTCCGTGGAACTGCCTACGGACGTCCGTGGACATGTCCGTGTCCGTCCGTGAAAACGTCCACGAACGCCGTCCGCGAGCACGTCCGTAGACCTCTACCAACGCGCCCGTGGACGTCCACCGACGCGTCCGGCGACACATCCGTACACGGTAGCGTCCACGGCATTTCCACGGAAATTTCCGCGGATGCGTCCATGGACCATGGACTCATGGGCGTTCACGCCAGAAGCACCATGTTGAGTATTTTGGGCATATTGGATAAACGCTGGCCATTTGACTACATGCACAGTAGTCATTGATGACTGTGCATGTAGTCAAATGGTCAGCCTTTATCGAATAATAGGGCATGCCCAAAAAACCCACACAAACCCTAACCCTAAGCCCATGGGTCATGGGCCCTGACCCTATACCCACGAGCATGTTATTCCTAACCCTACGTCCATGGACCCTAACCCGCAGCGTTCCCTGCAAATGCCTCACTTGACAAGTGGTGCCGGTTTGGGGGCGCCGACCACCCGCGACGAGCCCGCTGGACGCTGCTTGTTTAGAATGAGTACGCCCACAGTACTCGTGGACGACGCGTCCATCATCGTGGCAAGGCCGCGTGCACCCCGGGATGCCGCACAACACGGGTTTACTATCCTCGGCGCCCATCTCGAGGGGTCACAGCCTGTCTCGTCTCCGCGTGCGACATTGACCCTGGCGCCAGCTGGCGTGCATCAAACGAAAAATCTATGCATATGCATACGAAAAATCTACTATGCGGACGGGACCGTTGCTTTCGGCCAATCATGAACCCGTTGTCTGTTTGATGCTCATGTCGGGCATGGAATCGCGGATATTCCTCTTGCCTGCTTCCCGGCAGACGCGGGAAATATCATGTCTGCGGGCACTGCCAATGAGCAGATTCAGCACCCGATCATCGTCTACTGCCCCCCAAACTACAGTAGACTCCTGATCCACCTTGATATACAGCAAGGAACCGTGGCGGTGGGTTCGGCCCCTCAACCTTCCGACTCGGCGTGTTCGTGTCAGATATCAGCGCAAACCAGGTCCGAGACGAGACTCTAAGACATGGCATACTGGTGAGAAAACGAACCCCATCAGTTCGCTCCCACTTGTGTGCCGATGAAAGGGTGGGAAAAGGACTTTGCTTGCGTTGTTGTTCTGGCTCGAAAGGTACCCGAGCTTGCTGCCGAGACCCTTTTACCAAACATATTGGGCGGCAAAGTCAATTTGTGAATGGCACCAACCCATCAACAGCAGTTAGTTCCCAGTTTCAATCACAATTGGGCCCTGTCTAAGCTTCTAAGCTGGCAAAAAGCACCCTCATTATTGGGCTCCGCCCTTGTCACGCCTTCCTGTCCAGTCCAGGCTCAACTCCCTCCGCCTCGTTTCGAAATCAAGTCAAAGATGAAAAACAAATGCTTCAGCAGTACGCACAGTACTACCAAGATAGGACTCGGTTATAAATTCGGGCACAAACGACATCCATACTCAACGACGCTATCTAGCACTACTGTTGGCCATTTTACAAATGTGTATCGCTGCTGGGTCAAACAGAGCACCTCTAAACGACATGCGCTGTTCGACGTTCACTCATGCGAACAATGAGGCCGTTTTTTGCCGACTAGCTTATGTTTAAGTCTGTATTCCGTGACCATCACGCATGACTCGTCACATAAGACGAGATGACGAGTTCGAGAGTTCGTACCCGGAACGCAACATGTCGTCGACAGCAGTAGAACCAAAAAAAATAGGATCAACCATCAACGAGGTACAACTTGCTGTACCCATACTGTTGTTTGCTGACTGCAAACCACACAGGAAACAGAATCAACGCACACACACGGCAAAAAACTTCAACCGCACTGAGACTGACGTTTTTCATTGGTCAGCCGGTTAGCGCGGTCGATGCTAATATATAATAAAAGCACACACGGTAACCCATCAACAGCAGTACCCATCATTCATATGATGCTCCCTCCTCGCACTGATGGACGATGTTCAGGTGCATGTCGTCAAAAATAAGCACATTTTGTTCCTGATACTGTAGCTCCTGACCTCGAAGTCGCAATTCCGCACTTGCTCTGTCGGCTTGCCCTGTTGCTTCTAGCTTATGAGCACCCAATGCGAACATATTTCCCTGGTGTTCAAAACTCTCACAACCAGCCGGAAAACGCAGAGATAACAGTAGTGGTGGAAGAAGCCAAAGAAAGCGCTGGTAGAGCAAGGGAACGCCTTCGACATGAAGGAAAGCTGGTCGAAGCAAAACGCGCATAGAAAAAAGGTCACTAGGAATCTTGGAGGCCAAGCGAGGTCGGGAAGAATGTGCGGGGACGATCATGCCACCCCTGTTTGCACTAGATAGAGCGATGCTCACGAATCGCAGCGGATATGGGCATGCCCCGTTTCCTCGTCCCTCCTTCCCACAAAATTCAAAAACAGTTGCCAACATGTCGTCAAAAGCAGGACAAAAGCAGCAGAACAAAACGAAACCGCGGAGCAAAGGCCATCCCTGATGACAATCAGCAAAGGCCCTCGACTTTCTTCGCCTCTTCTAGGAGATCCATGAAGTCAACGAGGGTCCGCAAGATGTGAGTCGACTGCGCCTCGTCGTCCCCTTCCCCGAAAAATTCGCCGAGCCCCTTGCAGAGGCCGACGCACGCGCTCGCCCTCTCCTCGATGGACGACAGCCGGGCCTCGGCCTCCTCCACAAAGGCCGCCAGCTTGCGGACACCGGCGGAGCTGCCACCCTCCATCTCCCCTTCGCTTGACACGGAGGACGAAGACAAACCCCTTGCCGCCGGGGACAAAGAAGAAGAACAAGACCTCTTCGAGACGCCAGACGGCCTGCTCGCCGCTGCCTTAGCGGCAACGCCGCCGGCAGCCGAAGCTCCTGCTCCCTTCGTCTCCTCCTTCACCTTCCCTTCCTCGACGAGGGTGCGGTCGAGCTCCTCCTTGGCCTGCCTCAGCCCCTTCCTGGCCTGCCTCACGTCCATCATGATCTCCCCCACCGGAGTCTTAGACGCCTGTCTCACGTGCTTCAGCTCGGACTCGAGGTCGAGCGCATCGACCCGCGTTAGCTCCACCGCCGCCGCCGAACTACCCCGTCGCTTGCCGCCGGCACGAAGAAGATAACCGCTGTTCGCTCGAACCGTCGACCCTCCCCGACCGGGCGTCACCGCGCCGCGCTGGGACGCCCCCGCCCCGGGAGACGCCGCACCCGACGATGTCCCCGACACCTCTCGCCTCACCCCAGAAGCTCTTATCCCACCACCGCTCACACCGCTGCCGCGACACCCCGGCGGCGCTCCGCCAGGCCACGCGACACTCCGCTGCTTCTCCGCGGTCGAACGAGGAGGCGTTTTCGACTTCACGGTCTCGCCGGGGGCGGAGGGAGAAGCGGCGGCTGTGGCGGCGGCGGTGGCGGCGGCGGCCCGTTCTTTGGCGGCGAAGGTCCTCACCATGTAGTGCAGCACCGTGGTCTTCTTGTCTGAGTGGGACTTGGTGTGGCTGAGCTTGAGGAGCGACGAGATGCGGAAGCCGCAGGCGTTGCCCTGGTAGGTACCTGCAGATCACGAGACAAACACAACAACGAAAAATGCGAGTAAAAAAAATAACTGGATTGTAGGCGGAAAGTCTTGCGTTTGGCGATCCACGATAACACGGAGAGGCGCAGAAGGGACAAGGGTCGATGAAAAAGCCCTGTTCTTCGCCCGGTGCAAGTGCAGGGAAGACGCGGGCATACTACCGATTCCAAACCAACTCCCAAAGGCTGTACGTTCATCCTGGGATGGACGATTGTATCACCACGAACCACGAGTCATTTGCGGCACCCATTAGCCCACCCCGGGCCAGCATTATTCTTGGACCTGCACGCAGGCATGCGTCGTAAGTTTTAAGCTGTCTTCAGCTACGCTCAAAGAGCGGAAACTGGAGTTATCCCTCGCTAGGGGGTCTACAGACAAGAAACGTCGTGGTTTCACGGCAGCGATAGGAAGTTAGGCCCCGAGGCCAGACAGCATTGTTTTGCCTTCCGTCCTCGGTGCATACCTTCGTTCAAGAGGTTTCCGATGTCGAGCACCTTCTCCAGCACTGCAGCAAGCCGGTCGCTTTCCATCGCCTCCTCGCAGGCCTATGGGCAACACAAACGCAAAAGGGTGGGTGTCGGCGTTCCATTGAGCACGGCGGTCAGACACCCGAAAATTGTCGTCCTCGCCAGGATAATGCAATGCACGTTTGCGGCGGAAACAGACGTTGCTACTACTACCACGCACGCACAACATGTCCTGGCCTGATCTCGCAACACGCCAACACCAGCGCCAATTCCGTCGAGGGCTGGGGCAAGCGCCCCCGGGAGGGAGAAGCGCTGATACAGACCAAACTTTCGACACGTCAACATCACAAATTCTCTGAAAAATCACCCCTGGGCTACCGCACAACCTCCCTGAGTGCCCGAATTTCAACGGCGTTCATCACGCCACCAGACTAACAAAACACAACGCAAAAAGCAGCAAAAACACGTTGTTGATCTTCCGACCACACGCCCCCCCGACGCACCATCCTCAGCGTTTCCACCCTCGATTCCGCGTCCCCCGCCACGGACCCCAAGAACTGCCTCGAGAACAGCACCGCTGAAACCTTGGAGGCTGGCCGAGGGGTGTCCCTGAGCGCGCGGAAGAAGGTCTCCGCGGACCCCAGCGCGGCCGCCGGGCCCGAAAAGGCCACCACCGTCCTCAGCTCCTGCGCCGTGGGGAGGCACCCCTCCAGCCTTTGCAAATCCTCGGTCGTCAAGACCTCTGCGTTGTTGAAGACACAGATGCAAAAACAATTTTGTGTTGTCGTTTGGTTTGTTGGTTGGGTTCCAGGTTGTAAGAGAGTCCCTCGGGCGGGGTGGTGGGACATTGTTGTTCGGAACGGTAGGAGGGAGCATCAGCGGTTTGGAGCACACGTCAGCCGTAGAATAGAGCAAATATCTGTTTTGCGTTTCTTGAGCCAGAATGAGGCAGAAGGGACGCGCGGCATATGCCTCTCTCCGTTCAGAAGAGAGCGCGTTGTGATAAATTGGTCAGGAAGTCGAGTCGAGTCGATCCGAGCAGCGCAATGGAACGGCGATGGCATTCGAAATACAGCACCAGGTAGAATTCCCTTCAAAGAGGCCACGATACACGGCCGAAGCCTTGACTGCAGTCGGTTGAGCACAAGGATGTCACCCTCGAAACAAACGGACCAAACATGTTACTCCCCTGCTGCTACACAGACAGTGCGGCAAAGGAGCGCACACCTGAAACGGACGAATTTATCACGCTAGCCTGCTGCTATAGCACACGGAAGAAATACAAGAAGCACTCTTCTCACCCTTCGGGTCCAGCCCGGACACAAGCTTCGCGAGCTCCGACACGTCCCCGACCCTGCGGAAAGCCTTCAGGCCGATGGCTACGTTGTTCCCGCGGTTGACGTCCAGCAGGCTCACCTTTTTTACCTTACCCCCTGCCCCGCCCCCGCCGCCGCGCCCCACCCCACCCCGAGGCCCACCGCTGGAGGAGCAGCCGAGACCCTTCCCCTCAACAGAGGCACCGCCCGGGCCTGGCCCGCCCGTCCCTGCCCCTAGCGTAACCCGGCGCCCTCCCTGCCCCGAGGCGGCGGCCGCCGCCGCTGCCGCGGCCTTTGCCGTTTTCTTTGAAAACAGTTTCTCCAGCTCTTCAACCTCGGCGTCGTCTACGCTCAGCGTTGTCCGCGGCGACCCGCACGCTTCTCCTCCTCCGCCGGCCATGGCCGCCGCCGCCGCCGCCGTCCTCCTCTTCGCCCAGACCGTGCGCTCGATCTTCGCGGGGGGAAGCACGTCCCAGTGAAAGTTTAGCAGGGGTTTCGATGTGCGTCTCGGCGTGGGCGTGGGGGCGGGGGGCGGCACCGACCCCCCCGCCCGCCCTCCGAAAAACCCTCCGCCTTCGCTAAGGCAGCTACTGATTGGGTCGAGCAGGCTGCAGGGAGGGCCCGACCCCAGCCGTAGCCCCGGGCCCAGGAGCGACTTGTCGCTGCACCCACGACCCAAGGCAACGGGCAGAGGAGGCGGGACGGTGAGCATTCCCGACATGGGCGGCGGCGGCGGGATTTTGCACGCGAGAGGTAGGGGTGGGGGTGGGGGTATTCCACCGGGGGAAGGCGTGGTCGCGTTGGCAGCAGCGACAGCAGCAGCAGCAGGCGGGGTCTTCGGCACGGGCGGTGATGCTCGCGCTGCCGCCGATCCCGATATTGCTGCCGATCCAGCTCGCGCCGGTGGTGGCGGCATCGCTTCCGCAGGGATGGCAGGAGACGAAGAGGAAGGGTCGAGGACAAGGGCGACGTAGGAGGCCAGGTCGTCCATCGTCATCTTCTGCCGGATAGCGCCGTCTGGTAGTCCAGCCTGGACAGGACACACGCGGGGGGGGGGGGATTGGGGCAACGTTGGGGGAATCTGATACGTTTCCAAAAGTGAACGGCAGTCATCGGGCTACGATGATATAATACTTTCACGAAGGACGCCGAGGCAATGCGTTGATCGGGTCTGGGCTCGAGTCTTGTCGTTCGAAAAAAAAGGCTTTCTCGATGGTGGGGTGCAGGCTATGGGGTGATGTGCGGGTGCCATACAAAACAACAAAAACACTAGCTTGGGCAGCACCACGGGGTAAAAACGAAGCAACAGCTGAGTTTCAGAGGGCATTCCACCACCATGGCTCGGATGCACCAACCTAACCAGAATCCTCCAGCGGGGTAACAAGCGCGTTTCGACCCGGTTAAAGCAATTGCAAGACGGAGTAACAGTAGACCGCGCGCGAGCACAAACCGGCCATCATCCGTACGAGGCGGAAAGAGGACACCCCTCCTAGACCGATTTTTAAAGCTCGGTTCAACAAAGCTTGTGCCAAGTTGTTTCGGAGACATCTTGTCGAGGGCTTTCCGTCGACGTATCGGTATCTTTCCGCACTCCGCACTCAAAATCGAGCGTTCAAAGTCGGCCTAGCCTGGGGGAGGGTGCCACCTCTCCGCCCCTTGGGCTACTCCAAGCCAAGGGCTTACCACTCACCTTCTTCATGTTCTTGTACTTGGACAGGTCTGGCTGCTTCGGCCCCGCCGCTTCAACCTCGGGGGCCGCAGCACCATCCGGCAGCGTCGAGGGAGGTATCATCGGCAAGGGCGAGGCGTCAAAACCTCTACTGAGACCGCCGCATCCGCTGCGGCAAGGGCTCTGGGAGACGCTCCGCCGGCGCAGCTCTCGACGCCGCATTAGGCTCGCCTTGCTCGACTTACGCCGCTGCTCGAGGGCTTCCTTGAGGCCCCGCTCGTGCTGCTCGTGCCTCTCCTTGAGCCGGTCCCGCAACACCTGTTCCAATTTTTTCGTGTGCGCGTGCGTGTGCGTCTTTGTGTTGTTGGTATCAACCGCGTTGGCCGGTTGACCAATCGACGGGCGTCCATCTCGGTGCGGCAAAAAACTGGAAACGCTTGTGTACGTGTGTGTGTGTTGCTTTTAATAGCATCGAATACGCCAACCGGCTGACCAATGAAAATTCGTCAGTTTCGGGACGGCAAGAAAACAGGAAACGCTTGTGTGTGCGTGTGTGTGTATTTGCACAACAAGGCAGTACCGCAAGTGTGGGCCACCAGCACTTAGCACGGGAATCGAGCACGTACGATGTTTTGGTTGGGGGACTAGAACACGGTGACTCGTATAACCTGCCACCCTGGCGGTCAATCGTAGAGAAAATCATGTGCGACTGCACGAGAACAGACACATTGAGAGAACTTCTTACGCATCAGCAGCATCAAAAGGCACGGCAGCTATTGACGCGAACCACGGGCAACCCAAGGGCCATGAGGTTGTTCCGAGGCCGTGGACATCGAAACCGATGGGCCAACGACGCCTGAATCCGCAGCAACATTCGTATTCCTACCCAGCAATCACACGCAAAAATGATCACATTTGGAACCCAGCAAAGGCAACTGGGAAAAGGCAAAAACTCCAAGATAGAACGTCGTGCGTCGTATTGTACGTTGAGCGGCAAACAAGCCGGCGGGATATGATACACATATCAATACACCAAGGGGAAGGAGATAGTACCTACGTACCTTTGCCGGGGATTCCAAGATAATCACTCCCCTCTTCACTCCGCTAAACGGAGACGATGCCACGCTCCCCGCCTCGCTCCTCGACCCCGGCGGCGAGAGCACGACCGAGGCCTCGGGGGGCGGCGGCGATGACGGAGAAACAATCCCGGCCCCCGCCCCCCCGCCGGAGCCGCCGGCAGCGGATCCATCTCTCAGCTCCCGAAGGGGTGTGACGGCGCCCAGACTGTCGCTGTTTTTGTCGTCAGCACCGTCGTCGTCATTGTCTCCTCCTTCCCCTCCTGCCTTTCCCCTGCAGGCGTGGCCGGTGCCGCCGGAATCGCCCACCCTCGAGGGCGTACCGTCGCCAAGAACAGCAGAGTCCATCGCGAGGTGTTTTTCCTTCCCCGCCGCGCCGCTAGCCGAGGACGATGAAGAGGCGGAAGAAGAAGAGGGAGGCGAGGAAGAAGGCTGCCAGCGGAGTTGGATGGACCGAAGCAGCTCCAGGCAGTCGGACGGGTTCGTGAGGCAGAAGCTGCGCCGGCCGGACTTGTTAGTGGTGCTGGTGCTGGCGGCCTTGCTGCCCGTGCCGCTCGCTTCGGTCTTTGGCCTGCCGGCGGCGACGGAACAAGGCGGAGCAAGGCGCAAAAAAACAAATTCACAGCGCACAAAAGGAGCAAGCATTAGCATTGACCCGCCGTGTGTTCCAGAAACGTCGAAAAGCACGGCCGTAAGTCCCCTGTGCTAGAACGAATAAGAGCGAACTAGCGGGTTCGAGCAAAAGGGGGCGAACTGCTGTGTAGTAACAGAAACCAGCAAGCAACACAAGAAAAGTTGTGCGGATCACGTTCTTCTCTGGCCCCTTTCTTTTCGTCTTTTCTGGCAGACCTCTTGCAAGCGAGAGTACTTCTACAGAAACGCCCAATCACGAACCAAGCCACGCTGTACTGTACCCCCCCAGTGCCAGGTAGTCTCGACAGCACTTTCTTTTGTGCCTGAAAAGCCGAGTCGGCCTTAAAAAGCTGTGTCCTCCATGCAAATGATGCCGGCAGACGTGTGAGCTTGGGTTAACGCTAACCTTACCTCCACCCCGACATCTCGAAACAGAGCAAAACAGACACAACCCCAAAACAGGACGTTTCACCACCCTTACACGTGGTTGTTGGACTAACACGATTGCACAGCACACCCAAGGGCACTATCGCTATGCATATGTCGTCTCCAATCTTCGTGTCCCCAGACGGTGGCCACAGGCCACAAATGGCCGAAAACAACATGCCTATCTAGACGCATGTATTCACGGGGACTGGCCTTTGGCCATGCTCCAAGCCGATCGCGCGTGTCGCTGCCGTAGTTCAGACTACGCAACAAACAAACACACCAAGGAAAAACCGTTCTCTTCCGTCTTCGTTCCTTCCTGCCTGCACACCTTCCTGCCTCGCCAAGAGAGAAGACAACGCGCACGCAACCAAAGAATAAATATACTCGCCTGGTCGTGACCTCGACAACCACCTCCCCGACGGCATGCTCCGAGTCCTTCCCAGCGGAGACGTTAATGCTGCAGCTCTCCAGCTCCGTGTACCTGAGCACCCATGTCACCAAGCCGCTGCTTCCAGCGCCGCCACCGCCGCCGTTGCCGCCGTCGACACCGCTACCGCTCTCGGCGCCGCTGCTGCCATCCGGAAGAACGCTGAGCATCCTCTCGCGCCCGAGCACAACGATCGAGCCGTCCTTGCACCGGTACGCGCGGGGGTTGTTGCCCCCCTTGGCCCTGTCCAACCCCCGCAGATCGATGCGAGAGCCCTCGGTCACAACCGCGGGTGGCCGGCGGGGGTCGGCCCCGGTGCCCGCTCTCTTTCCTCCCACGCCCGTCGCCGCTGCCGGCTTGGCGACAGCGCGGCAACGGTGTGTACTACTACTACCCATTTCACCGCCGCCGCCGCCGCCGCCGCCGAACGGCAGGACATTCTTGAAGGATAGGCCACGGCGTGGCGGCGAACTGCTCAGAGATAGCTTACGGAGCAGCCCGCCGCCCACACCACACTCTTGCGACGGCGAGGCGGGCGGGGAACAGGATCGTAGGGGTGCCGCCGCAGCCGCCGCCGGTTCTATCGCCGCCGAAGGCAACTCGCACCCGCTCCTGCTGCTACCGCTGCCGCCATCCTTGGGCGGCGTCGCGTCCAGCTTGACGGCGCCCAGCCTGCCCCTCTGTGCCCCCCTGCCGCGCTTTCGCACGCCCGCCGCTCGCGCGTCGCCCCCGCCGCCGGCGACCGCCGCACGGCTACTCCTCCCTCTCGACGGCGAAGAGGGGGGTGTCGAGCGAGGAGGAGAGTTGCCGTCGATCGTCCGCAGAGCTCCCCCTCCTCCATTTCCGGCACCCACCCTGTCGTCGGCGACGCCTGTTTGGCGGGGCCGGGCGGAGCCGAAAGCCCCCGGCATGCGGAAGGCCAGGGCGTTGTCGAGGAGCTCTTGGCCGCGCCTGGTGTTCTCCCGCGAGGGCTGGATGTGGGGGGGGTTGGTCGGCAGGAACGGTGCCGCCATGCGCGTCACGGCCTCCCACGGGCGCACGACCACCTGCAGCGTCGGGGTGTAGCAAGGGTACGGATCATACGAAGGACTGCAGGTGTCACAGGAAAAGTGGCGGAACGGCGGTTTGTTGGTGTTTAGTTCTACAAGACACAAGACGTACATACAGTCGACCCCGCTTTAAAGACGCACCACGTTTCCCCCCCCCCAAGAAAACAGTGTCTTTAACGCGGGGAAGTGTATTTAAAATTCCGGGGCCACTAACGCACCATCCCCGGGGCCAATGAAGGCGAAACATATGCATATGTCAAAAGGTGCGCATTCGCAGCAGAAAGGCGACCACAAGAGGTGTTGTTTGAAACCTACGACACAAGGTGATTTGAAGGTCGCAACCACTGCTGCTATTGTGCTGCAATACATCCTTGCATACCATCGTTTGAATTTCCCCGTACTGTACCACCAAAACGCTGAAAGCGAAGGTGTTCCACGACCTACCTATCGTACATGTACACGACGGTAGTGCGGTGGTGTTGATATGGGCTGAATAATTTGCTTTAATTTATTTTTTAGGCGTTGTCCTCCCCGTGAATATCTTGCCCAAGATCTCGCTACCGCACCTGAGAAATATCGAAGGTTGCAAAACGACACTAGGAAAATGTAGGTTACGCAGAAACACAGAGACCAAAAATGTCGGGAAAGCACAGCGACAAAGAGGACACCGCGCCTCCCAAAAGGTCGAAACGAGGCACAACACAACACAAACGCCAAATTCAACCTCACAAGACTTCACCCAAGGCAAATTTGAACTGGTGAAGAAGACAAACGGACACTGATGAACCAGTGACACCAGTGCAGATTTGAACTAACACGTCGGTTCGCCGCATGGCTTCAAGCCGGCAGCAGAAGAATCGCTAGCAGATGGAATTAATCTTTCCATACACCCACACGCAGTGTGCAGCTGCAGCAGACCGCTGTTGATGATCCAGGATCCACAGGTGCTGCAGCACATTTTCTGGGGGGGGTCGAATGGTGGAAAACACAACCCCCCTACTTTTTCACATCTGCGGGGCACCATGTTCCTGAGATTTGTTGGTGTCCTTAAAGCGGCGAGTGTCTTTAAAAATGGTGTCTTTGAAGCGGGGACGCCTGTAGTCGCAACCAGTGCGTACCTTAGGTTCATCCAAGCATTTGATTAATTTCAGTCTCTCGAGGGTCCTTGCCACAAGAACGAGATGCAGCAGCTGAGCAAACGCATGGAAATCGTTGCGGCCGGTTGGTCCGTACTTTCGGTGTTGGATAAAACTGCAGCTATCGCTTTCGCCCTCGTCTACGCAACCCGCCTATTGTGAAGGTATTCGCGCACTCAACACAGTCATGACGGAATAAATCGACAGCAGCCACCAACCAAGAGCCACTGAGACCAAACCTACGAGTGCACCCATGAAAAGGTGGAGAAAAGTCCGAAGAACAACAGGGAACACGACTGAATACGCTGCTGCCGCGTGCTGCTATCCACGCTCTCATGGTGCACAGCAGCAGTAGGTAGCACCTTCCCGCGTGTGGCTCTATATCCAACTTTTTTTCTGTGTCTCGCTCATGAACGGGGCGGGTCACATCAAAACGAACCTGATAAGTGTTCGCGACGACGCTCTTGGCGGACTGCGCCAGCTGCGCCCCGTCCGACCTCATCCCGTCCATCAAGGTAGCCATGAACACGCCAATATCCTCGGTGGGGATGTACACCTCCTTGTCGTCGTCGTCGCCGTCGTCCTCCCACATGGTGCCGCCGCCACTGGTCTGCTCGTGTGCAGGCCCAGCTACACCAACACCGCCACTGTTGACAACACTGCTTCCATCAGCACCATCACCAGGGTGACCATCCTGCTGGCGAGCAGGAGGAGGAGCAGCGCGGGGAGCGGGCGCCTCGCTGCTGGTGCTGCTGCTGGGTTTGTCCTGGAAAGAAGGTGCTACGCTATTGACTGCTGCGTCCGGCACGTCATTGAGCACCACTCCGCACGGGATGTCGATGGTGCTGCTCACGGACTCCCACCGTCGATGCGCCTCCGCTTTGCGCCCTCTCCTGTTGCAGGCTGCCATGAGAGGCGCTCTGCTGGCTGCTGGGTCGCCTGCTGCTGGGCTGGCTGCGATTGTCTGACTACTCCTCTCCCCCCGGAAAACAGCGAAAAGAGCACAAAAGTGACCGTTGGGTATTTTCCAGTTCATGAGGCCCCCATGACAGTATTTGGCTGGGGTAGGTCTCGCATCCCATCTATGAGCGCCCTCGTCTCTCGCCGTCCTCCGCACCGCCTGCCTGGCTCAGTGGTTCTCTCTGCCACGTGCATCACAAGAGATTGCCCTTTTTAGCCGCTTTCGAGAAGTGTATATTGCTAGCACACTTGAAGCCCTCCATCTTCCTGTGCCTCCAAGAGCGGGTGGATCAAACGCCGTGAATCGCCCGTTTGTGTGGGAGCACATATTTCTTCGTCCTTGTCGAGCTGGGCTAACTGCCGCGATCCGCAGTAGCTAAAAAGCTGTATCCACCATGACCACCATGGCACCAGCACCGAGGACCTTCAAGATCTATCGTGGTGAGAAAGGCTGAGCAGTCTTGAGCAATGTGAGGTTCACGCCTTCTTCTTTTAGGAAGTTCACAAGAGTCTCACCTGGTGCGTAGGCTACTCCCTCGCGTGCCTGGTCTTGTTCAAAAAGGGGGCCATAATCCGTTGGGACTCCAGCTTGCTTTGAGCGATGCTACCTCGCCCGGTTGACGTGTGTCATGCCCAGTCTCCAAAACGCTGCACCGGGCCGCTCGCTTTGTCTGGATCTCGACCTAACGCGCTTTTATCTCTGTACCTCCACCTACGCTAAACGCAACAACGACCTTTGTGCACGCTGCTCTGCAACCAACCGCTGGTGCTGTCATTTTTTGAAATCCGACCGGTGCCGCCGATGATTTTCAAAACACCAGTATCAAACGCCTTCGAAACTTCATGACATAACCCCGTTTTTCGTTGGGCCACGGGTGCACACCACCCATGATTGACGCACACGAGGAGCACATGAGACTGCTTGCACGTACATGCCGCGATGGACGCCTGCTGGCCGCCATTCCCATTTCTCGGCAACCAACGTTGAGGCCATCGATGGAACATGCTGCCGGCTTCCCGAAAAAAAAAGCGGGGTTGGGAGGTTTGAAATTTGAAATTTCTTCACGTAGAGAATGCAGGGAAATGCATATGCACGTTTCGGTGTCCTGGTCTCTACGCTCACGCCTGGCCACCGTTCCGGCCACGCCTCACTTGTTCGTTGAAGAGGACGGCCGACAGCAACAGCAGTGGCAGCGGGAGTTGCCGCATCCTGGCATGAAAAGCTGCCTCGCAACTCTTTTCGGTTCCGGTGACACTCTATTTTTCCGGCCAACGTCACGTGCTCTCCCTGCCCTTTGTCATCTGCTTCGTTGCAAGTTGCAAAGCATTTTAGTCCGGCCGCCGGGTAGGTCAAAGGCAGCAGGCTACCACTCCCACACGTGATTGGTAAAATCTGGTTTAGCCACGATTGCGCTTAGCGCCCTTACTGTTTGCACCCACGCATTTCGTCGGTGACAGACAGACGCCCCGGGCGGGCCTCCCACGGTTAGAAACAACGTCTTGGGATTGAAGAATCTCGAATGGGTAGTCGTTCTTTGCGTGTATTTATTTTTCCTTAATTAAAGAATCCGAACTTCAAAGTTCGAACGTGTTAGATTTGCAGCAGTCACCACACCCCGAGCTAGTGTTCACCGCCCACTGCTGTTCCCCCCGGCCTGATTGTGTGTGTCGTGGCTCATTCTTTTCCTACCTCTTCCCCCCCTCTGCTCACTGCTGTTGTGCTGCAATTGCAGATGCTGCCATTGAGACGATCCACGCTACTCCCGCCGTACACGAAGCGGCGGCGGCAACCCCGTGTTCTTCGCCCGTGTCTCTGAGGCCAGTGCCCAGTTCTACGACTACGACGGCTGCGCGCGCCACCGCCACTGCCACAGTTTCTGCCCCCGCGCGCTTGCCGCCGAGGAAACGTAGCAGACTGCAGCAGCAGCAGCAGTCGCGGCCGCTGGGTTCGTTGCCGAGCCCGAGTGGTGGCAGCGGCCCCGCAGGCGGCAGTAGCAGCAATACGAGCGGTTGGTGGGACGTGTCGAACAAGGAGAACATCGATCCTGGAACCGGGAAGCAGCAGCAGCGGCAGCAGCAACAACAGAGAGTTTCGCCCTTCTCCACTATGCTGCCAGTAGGCGACTCCTCCGCTTGCTCCGCAGTGCATCCGCACTGCTTGGGCAGTAGCACCTCCAAGAAGCGCCCCTTGTGCGGCGATGAGCGGTGCTGCGCGAGTGCTATTGACAACGGCGGTGATGGTGCTGGGAAGCCGGTTGCATTGTCGTCGCGTAAGCCGTCTAGGGAGCCGCTGAAAGAGCTCTGGAACAGGAGCAGCTACGGCGGTAAATTGTCCTTTCCCGTTTACCTGAACGCTCTCGGCGCCCGCACCTTGCGGTGATGTTCAGTGGCTTCGGCTTTTGAGGAGGATGGCGGGAAAGAGGAAGATGCGAGGGGGGAGGGGGGAGGGGGGGGGGGGGACGGTGTTGTGGAGGCACAGACGCCGGCAATACAAACGAAATTCGTGACATGTAGGAAATGTTTTCAGGTGGCTGGCTGGTTCGTAGCCCTCCGGTGGCTCGGGCGTAAATGGTCTCTGGCGATCATTGCTTTCAGGTGGCTGGCTCGTAGCCCTCCGGTGGCTCGGGCGTAAATAGTCACTGGCGATCATTGTTAAGACGTGGTGCATACTACATGCGCGGGTGGGCAGAAGGCGGGACTGTTTCGCCAAACTAAAACCAATAGCCTGGCCTGGCGTAAAGTCGCTTGTAACGCACACGTCTCGGATCGACCTTGAACGACCTATGTCTGGTGATGTCCCTGTGTGGCTGTGGTGGGTAGCTGGCGCGTGATGGTTCCGAGGTCCACAACGTGGTATGTCGATCCAACCGCCATCTTCCTCACTCGCGCACTTTTATTTTTTTCTCTCTTGTTTTATTTCCAAGAAAACAGATGCACACTTTTGGTATCACGAGTGAATTAATGGTGAATGTGGGATTTATATAACGTGGCCGAAAGCTGGCCTACATAGCCGTAGAGCGGCACCTACCATAGTAGGCACGCACGAGATGTGCTCAAGAGTCAGGGAGGTTGTTGCCTCGCTGGAGGTGCATCATTATTGATCAGGAGGGCAGGAGGACAAAGGTCTGAGGATGTCAAGAACAGGAGTGTGCATGACAACGGCAGAACGTTTGGAGGGCGGTTGTTGTCGGTAGCATTGCCTCCCGTGACACGCGTGACCCTTCGGGGGGGGGGTATCTCTCCCTTGCTGGCGATCGGCCTGTTCGACGAAAACTCTCGTCTGCGTTTGAGTGACTGTGGACGTTGGTTTTTCGGCGTCGTTATCGTCGTTGTCGTCGTCCAAGGAGCTCGTGATTTGCGTGCCTCCGATGTGTCTGCTGAGTAAATGCTGGGAAGGACAAGATGACCGACGGTGTTGAATTGAAGAGAGGAGAGCCTTCCTACTGAGATGAACAGTCTGTGAGGTGTGCGGGGTGGCGTCGACCACGACTCGATTCTCTTCGCCGGGCTTGTTTTGGTGTACACCCTCTAAGGGCATGGTTTTCATAGCACTTGATTTAGCTAGGACGAGTCTGTAGCGTGTTGGAGCAGCGCGAGTAGCGCACGGCTTTCGGTTGTATGAACGCGAACACGGAGTCTGTGTGCTTTGGTGGCAGGAGTAAATGTTTCGGGGCACGCTTTGAAAGCGTTGTCCCCAATTTCAACATTTTGTCCACAAGACTTTTGTGCTGTGGTCGGGATTCTGTTGTGTAGCTATTTTGCAACAGGAAATCGGTGTTGCGTTTCGAACCACTTCGGAGAATGCACTGCGGTGCAGAGGACCCCCGGTCTGACGTGGTCACTGTTGGTAACACCGCAGCAACATTCTCCCCCCGGGTACCTGAAGGATATTCGCGTTGCGTTGCTGCTGCTTTCTTAGGCTGGGGCGCGCGCTTTGGAAGCGTTGCGTCCGCCGAACGACACGCAGCGATGCCGCGGATAGTGGTGCCAAGTGGGTATCTGTTGCATTTTTTTTTCTCTTGTCGGTGGCAGTGTTCCACTCTGCAAAATCAACGAAGTGTACCATTTCCTTCCGAGTCAGATAAAATAACACCAAAATTACGCGTGCAGTCAAGTAGATGTTCCTGGTGCCAGACGTTCACTGGTGTACTGTAGCTGCTTTTATGGTGTGGTGTTTGTCGACGATTAAATTGGTTTATTTTTCGTGGGAGCCATTGAAGTTATCTGAATCTGTTCTGTTGGATTGCTTTTTCCCCCATCGCCGTAGATCACCAGCGACGGGTTGCGGAGCTAGCGGGGGACTTATGGAGGAGTGAAAAACGGCAATGACGGGAGGAGGGGGGGGACAACTTTGCGCGCCGCGGCTGTGATACGATTATCGTGATGGAGACCCAAACGTGAACACAACGAGAAGAGCGCCGAGCGCCACTAAATCATAAGGAGGCAATCTTGTAGCACAGGAAACAATCCTGCCCCGCATGACGTCAGTCTTACGGAGAGACCCTTCGCGTGTTGTTTCCTGGGGTGCGGGTGTCCCGTTTCTCAAAAAAAAAACGCCGCAAGACATAAAAGTCGCAACAAACAGCATCGCGGGGTCAGATCCGGCGTAGCGTGCAACAATACCTGCACCATTGCTTGTCTTGCATCAACGTCTAGAACCGCTCGTCCCATGTAGTGCAGTGGGGGTCCCTCTGTAGTGCCCGTATGTGCCCAGAAATATCACCGGCACTACTCAAAGCAATGACTTGGACATTCATGTGTGCACGTGGAAAACACCGACACGATATCGGGCATTGACACGATTCAATCGGCACTAAATAGGGACCCCCGCTGTAGTCCAGATGATGCGATGACCATCCCACACACGCGCATGTGTGCGATACACGCGAAGAAACCGCGCGTCGTCGTCTGAGTGCCACTAACGAATGGTGTGACGAAGGGGGTTTACATCGATTGCGGTTTGGCACACGGGCTGAGGCCCAGCTCTCAACGCAAAATGCGCCGATGGGCGCTTTGCTTGGTTTTCTTACCCGTTCCGAGACCAACAAGATTCGCTTCTGCGCCCTGAGATACCGCACAGAGCACGCCGCCGAGCATGTTCTGCGCAGCCTCTACATAACTTGCTTTGCACATGGTATTGGTTACCTCGTCGCCTCCTCCTATGCGTCATCCCACTCACAAACGTACGTCAACATTCGTGGGCCGCTCGTCTAGTAAGTTTAGTCGCTGGCGGGGTTGGACCACTGCATGTCCATCAGCGCGTCCACTGTACCTCCAAAATACAGATATTTTTGCAGAAGTATTTGTGTGAGTGTGCCCATGCAGGCAAATCTGCACCCGCAAAGTGTCAACCAACTCTACCCAACCATCACCACCAACGATCTCAATCTCCGATGAGAAGCTGCCGCCAACGCCCCACGGGCGGATTTCATGCCGGAGATGAAAAAACTTGGACTGCCAAGCTATTCCACCCCCACTCTATTTTTTAGCATCGAGTTGGGCACAGCAACCCATGCCAATCGTGTAGTATCGTCGCCATGCAAGTTGGGCGAAACAACCAACGGTATGGAAACCTGACAACTACTTACTCAGCAGCGGAGGATACGAACTGCAGGCTGTGCACACACGCCCAGGCCGCGCTGAGATGTTGACTCCATCACACACGCATAACGTACGCCGATCGTGAGACAATTTTTACTATTTTGGCTTTGCCGACATGAAGCCGCTGCTGGAGTCGAACCACTTCTTGTTTGCCGCCATAACCTTCTTCTCTTTGTCCGCGTTGGGGTTCACCAACTCCAGGCCCTGTTTCGGGCACAACCACAATAAGAAAGGAAAAAAAAAAAAGTAAACTGGATGACGCCGCCATTGTTTTATAGATCATAACCAGGAAGAATGAAACGTTCTTGCATGGGACGTTCATGTGAGGAGCTGAAACACGTGAACAAATTGTAGAGCACGATGAATGTCGAAAGAGGCAAAGCCGGGTGATCGCGGACAAAAATCATGTCAAAACCATATACTTCTAATAGCGCCGCCTGGTTATAACACGTCCTACAATATTTCTGGCGAAGGCGCCTCTCACTAGAACTGCTGTCGCGCTGCGTCCTGCATGATCAACTACCGCCGCCGAAACGCACAAGAAATCACGCCATCACCTTGCGCTATTCAACACACTTGCTGAAGACGGCAACACTTGAAAGAACCACGGTGGGGGGCATACAATGCTTGGTGTTTGTTTCTTGTGGCAAAACCAAACCAAAAACAGCAGAGCGAAAGAAATATTGTGCAAAGCGCGTGCTGTAACACACCTGGATGGGGGTGAAGACGAGACTCGAGTTGAGCCCGTTCGTCTGGCCGGAGCTGAGGTTGGCCACCTTGAGCTTCTTGCTGACGTTTTGCTTCATCTCCTTCTTCATCGGGGCTCGGACTCGCCCGCTACCGGACTTGCCTGCAACGAGTAAAAAAAAAAGTGCAAAAGTCAGTGCAAGTGACCATTGCTTGTACAATCACCGCTACTGGACTTGCCTGCACACGATGCGAACAAATGAGAAAAAAGGTACACAGGTGTCTTTTCTTCCCTTTGCTTGTTCCATCAGCATTACCGGACATGCCTGCGACAATGATGCAACGGGAAAAAAAGTACAAACGTCAGAGTACACACTTCCCTCTGTGTACACACGCCCCGGTGGTCTAGTGGGTAGCCTCGCAGCCTGCTAAGGGCCAGGTCATGGGTTCGAGTCCCGGCAGAGAGAGTTTTTTCTCACTACATAAATCCTGGTCTAGGATGAAAGCGACGTGCTGCAAAGCTCGTTTGTTAGTAAACCATAATCGACTTCGTAAGTCGCGAGGGAAGGGATTGCTGTACCCTTCTCGCGATAAAAATACCTCAGGCATGAACCGCAGGAGGGGATCCAACCCCCCCCTCCTATGTGACCCCGGTTGGGTCGTCTAGCTAGTAGTGGAGGATAGGGGCCAGAGGGACAGACGACAGTCCAATGATGGGAGAAAAACAACAACAAACAACAAACAAAACACATGTTGTGACATTTTGATGCACCTACCCGACATTCATGGGAATGCAATGTTGTTTCTGTTGTTTCACGCTTGCACAACAAGCAAGTCTTTCTCTCCTGTCTCTCTCTACCTCTCCCTCTGTCACTCACCTAGCATACCGTAGTCCTTCCCCATGGCGGTGTCGCTGTACTCGTCCGCCATCGAGGCAAAGCCCATCCGGTTGGCCTCCTTGCGGACGTCGGTCATGGCGAACTTCTGCTTGAACGATCGCACCCTGTGTTACAAAGAAAAGCAATGTAGCCAAGAGCATGTCTAGGGTGCTGGGGGCCAAACGAGCGTTCGCATAACGGAACAAAGGGAGTGCTTCTACGCTGACGGTCGGAACCCGAAAGAAGCACGAATGTGAAAATACCGACAAAACAAATTGGACGAAACAAAACATGCGTCTAGCGAGAGCGTTTCTCTTGCGACAACAAAAAAAGAAAGACGGACACTCGAGGGAACTGATACAGCCGATTCGTTTCGTTACAGCAGCAGCACGCCGTCGCCGAGTGGTGGGCCGTCAGGGAAAACGGCAATGGTGGGCTCGGCCAATCAATCAACGTCGGAGTTGGTCATAAAATTCTTGTATCAGTTCACCCCGAGTAACGTCCGTTGTTTGTTGTCACCGAACACCTTGCCACATAACAAATTTTTCTGTGGCTCACCCCCCTACACAATAACCAACCATATTCTCAATATCACCAATATTATTTGGCCGCAGCGGACAGCACAACTCCTGTGTGGCCCCGGCTGGCTGGTGCGTCCAGAGTTGTACCCAAAGGTGCAAAGGAAAGTGTAAAGGGCGGTAACCGTCTGCGACAAATGAGATCACCAAACAAAAAAGAAAGCACATTTTTACCTCCTGCCGCCGCGTTTTCTGGCCGGCATGTCGTCGGGCTTCGGCAGCGCCTTCTTGGTCTTGGCGGTCTGCATCTCTTGCCACTTCTCGATCTTGTCCTCCACCTCGGCCCTCCACTGCCGACCCACGTGCCCGGACGGGTCGTTGCCGTAGCTGTCAAACCTCGACGCCAGGCTCACCTTGGATAGTCAACAAAGCAACGGAGGGGTGACGGCGGCAGCAAGGGGTGTGGAGTAGGCAGTTAGTGGCGGGGACCAATAGTGACGACGGGGGTTCGATTCCAATCGGAAAGGAACTTTCAATCGCAAAGGAACAACTGCAGCCGCCGCCATCGAGGAATTGGCAGCCGGTGGCGGGGACACAACGATGAGACCTGCAGCTTCGGAAGGGGTTCAACTTCAATGCATGGTATGTACAACGTTCTCGGTCGCCGACCCCCCCTACACCGTCAGCCTTAAAAACATGCTTCCAGAAAAGGAAAAAAAAAAAAAAAAGCACCTCTGCTGTCGTACGGTAGTCTCAAAGCACATACTTCATCATTTGGGGGTGCCGCATCGTACCTTAGCGGCGGTGACCCGCAGGGCCTTGGTCCTGAGGTAAGGGGGAGCGAGCTGGACGACGTCGCTCTGGTAGAGCAGTCCCGCGTGGGACACGGTGGCCTTGGAGGAGAACCCGCTCAGCGTCTTCTTCTCCTGGCCCATCACCTGACCACGGGGGGGNNGGGGGGGGGGGGGGGGGGCGCAGACATGTCGAAACGTGATGTCACAAAAAAATCAGACACAAGAGAGAGGAGGGGGACCGATACACGTCGAAACGTGACGTTACAAGAGTGAATAGCACGATGCCCTCCGAGGGTCTCTCTCCTTGCTGTCGGGCAGCAAGAGACCGGGACTGATCTTTGGAACTCAAAAGTCAAAGACTGTAAAGGAGGGCCTGGTTGATCTCCTTGTCTATCGCATGAGTGCGTGCCCAGATCGGGCAGAACCGGGGGGGACGATGGCAACAGAAAAGATGAGGATTGGTATGCAAGACTATTAATAGACCCGCTACATGCAGGGAAGGGGGGGGGGGGGGGGGGG